TGGATGCCCCATCCCTGGCAGTGTTCAAGGCCAGGTTGGATGGGGCTTTGAGCAACCTGGTCTAGTGGAAGGTGTCCCTGCCCATGGCAGGGGGGTTGGAACTAGATGGTCTTTAAGGTTCCTTCCAACCAAACTGTTCTACGATTCTACGATAATTTGGAAATTAAAAAGGCATTCTGATTTTACTGTACTTAAGGAATAAAATGTGATATCATTTTTACTCTTAACATTACTATTAAATATTAAAATAAATTAACATTAGTCCTTTACAGTGAATTTTATCTGATGCAAAATCCCATATTCTTGATAAACTACAAAGCAATTATTTAAAATATTTTGATGCAAAAGGAGAACCTAGTCACAAATCTGAGGTCTAACCTCTCTTGACCTGAGATCTTGGTAGAGCAGATAAGCACCGCAGGACTAGACTGAACAGAATCTTAGCAGGGCAACCTGTAAAGAAAACATAAGTATTGCAGGAAATTAAATAAACTTATCAGTAGGCTGAGCATTTTCCTCTGACTTAGTGCCTAGGTAATGCTCAGAAAGTAAAAGAGGCAGACCTGTCTTGTCCATTAGCGGTAAAGCCAGGTTTCTTCTGCTAGTTGTTCAGATGTAAGCCATCAGCAAGTACAAGATCCAGGTAGAACACTAGGCTTTAGTTAAGAGAGGAGCAAATAGTCCCATGAGAGTAGTACCTTCATTTCCACTCCACTGAACGTGTGTAAGCTGACATAGCAAAACAAACAATTCAGGCGTAAGGCAGTTCTACCTCAAACAAAAAAGCCTTTAGACAGAAAACTTCTGCTCCTGATGTTTTTCTGTTGTCAGTCTTCCTCCAAAACGGCTGTGTTCATCTCCTACTTGTCCTCCTACATGCTCAGGATCTTGTGTCTGTGGTGTCTCTTACTCAGTTAGCAATTTACTCCTTGCCTGGGGGTTATGCGAAACAGGTCGTAGGTGAGTCATTCTTACACATCCCATGGAGAAGTGCCACCAACCTGCATGGCAATAGCTTGTGGAAACTAAAAGCCACCCAGAAAACACCTACTAAATTACACCAAATCAAATGCCATCACAGTGACAGATTATAGCGCTGCTCCCAGCTCATTTATCTTGTCTAAATTAGTAGGTCAAGGGAGATCTTTTCCCTTCAAAGAAGTGAGGAAGGCATCTATTAGCCTTCAGTGAGATGTATACATTTGAAAAACAATTTCCTCCACAGTAAGGATGATATCCATAGTGACAAAATCAGAAACAAATTTAAAACTACATCATCCCTAAATGTCTCCAGCTGTTTCAACCCGCTGCGATATCCTTCACTTCTGCTTGCATGTTGTTTGGGCACCAGTAGTTCATGCTCTGTTAAACAAATACTGTCTTCAGTTCCTCCCAGAGACAAAGGGAGAAAAAAATAAAATCGTTGCTCTGTCTCTGGTTTCGTATGTTTGCAAAACGTTTTGAGACACTTTGGAATAATAGACAGTAAAAGTAGGTTATGTTCACAATTAACACATAGGTTTTATATAAAGCTTAAAAACTACAGAAAAAATGTTTATTCAGAAATAATAATAACTCTTTCCAAAATGCAGCTATAACCTCAGAATAAGCATAAAGAGAAATAATTAGTTTAGTTGCTCTACAGAATAAAATTTTGCATTTTTCTCCTGTTTATATTTGTTATGGAAAAGCAATCATTTTAGTGCTGGTTGAACAAGTCCAAATGAACCCTTATGGCTTGAACCCAGCTCTTTAAAAGGTTTTTCTTTTGAGCAACAAATTGCTGACATTACTGCACTTTGCTCTATCTAGTAATTTTGATATTTTCCCATAATGTTCAAACATTAGAGGAAAGTCAGTTACAATATCCTCACATCAGTATTCTCCTCACTAGCCAGTGACATACTGCGACAATGGCTTGTTGACATTGATGTCTACCAAGGCTGAGGATGACTTTCTACATAATTTCATTTTATTCGAAAGAAAAAGCAGGTTAGGTTGGGTTTTGGACGTCTCAGATTGATGGTACTTAAACCTTACAGAAAGTCATTTTGTCAAGTTCTTACTTGCAAGTATTATAGTGCCACAGAATGCGAATGACAGTTTTATTTCACGGCAGATTTTTCCCCCAGCCACTGGAAATTCAGCCTATACAGGTGCCTCCCCAGCAAGAAGGCCAGGCACAGTATTTTGAACAAACTGCAGACAGTGGCTCGCCTGGGGTTCTCCCACAACCACACTTCCCTTTAAGCTGTGGCTACAAGCCTTCTTGCTTAGTTGGCCAAGTTGTCTTTTTCTTAGGGTTTTCTGGGGGGAAGACAGAAATCCAGTAACGCATATAATATTGCATGTCCTAGTTTATGGATATCTACATTTATATGTCATCACATGTAACAAATACGTTGATTCACTTCTGTTGAAGTAGGTTCTAAAACTCACTACAATTTCTCACTGCAACATTTGGTGGTTTTTCCCTCCCCTTCAAAAAATGAAAATAGAAAAAAAAATTAAAATCGTCTAGGGGGACAGTCCATTAATAAATCAGTTCTCTCATCTCTAGGGAATAAAACAGCAGGCCTCTCACCCCTAGGTCTCCCCC